TCCCAAAGGCTTTGATTCAGGAAAATACTTAAACAAATGTTATTTTCCTTCCTAGTCCTCAAGCATATACTTAATTTTAAATACGTATGCTGGGGTGCTTCCAAAATTGAAGTTAGTGAGCTTTTGTTCTATCAGAGAGATATACATTAAGGTTATCACAAAAGCTAAACAGGAATAATATATCTGATTGAGTCTAAGCCTTACATTTTGGCTTTAGTATCCACAGCAGAAGCTTTATTCTTGGGGAAAAAAATAGGTCACGGTACAAATTATTAGCAAGGTGAAGAGTTCAAATTAAATTTTATCTTTCGAGTAACAGTATGCAAATGACTGCCTCTCACTGTGCATGGGAACAAGAATCACTTTATAGGCTCATTTGACTACCTGTATATCAAGATCAGCCAACCTTTTAGGAGGGCCTCCTGCCCCTTTTCCAGCATACCAATGCCAACATCAACTGTGGCTTTGAGTCTGTAATCTCTGTCATTGCACCCACAGACACTGATGATCAGAAACAGTATTTCTTCATTCACAATTATATATCTCTGATTATGTGAGAACAGTTCACTACTTGACATAAAGGTATGGAACTAGGCCATGCTTCATAGAAGACACTCAATGTGCCATAATTCAGATCGATGCATTACTTGTTGGCAATTGACTTCAAATTATCCCAGCATATACCAGGGACTCACTGTAATGGATGCAGTAATTACCTTACCTGGCTCCTTTGATTGCCAATGGAATGATACACTGCACGTATTCCGAGTTCATGTGACTAAATGCCAATGCCAAAATCTCGCATGAATGCTCATGGATACTGTGATGGAGCCAAATTAATTTTTAAAATCACAGCAAGTAAACAGAAAAGGCTGCTTTGGATACAGCTCCAACCTTTACTGGAAAACACGTGAAATCTGTAGAATCTCTCCTGCCCGTACCATCAAAAAGTGGTCTACAGAAATCATTTTACCATGAGCAAAAGCCTCTTCTTCAGATATGTAACTTGCCTTCCCCAGCTTCTGCAGGCACATTCCCCTGCAATATTTCTACCAAATCCCTGGGTACAACTCTACCTAAGATGAATAGATGGCATATAAGCAAAAGCAACTTTTATAGCTTCTCTTTGCTGGGTAAGATTTTAAATCCTGCATGGGCTTGTGCTGCAACTATACCTACAGCTAGACATCTAATGGGTTATTTGCATGTGTAGTTACGGGTTTTTTTCCACAGATAATCATGGTAAATCCCAAGGCAAGTTACACAGACACAAAAATACACATGCAATGATACACAAGATTTCAGTAGTCTAGCTAGGTTATTTTGCATTTTCTGAGAACAGAAATAAAAAGTTTAAAAACTAAACATAAAGATCTTAAGTATGTGAAATCATGACTAAAGTTGCTTGATACAATTTAAGGAAAACACTAATTCACTTTTAACAACAGAGGCTCAAACTGTACAGATTTATGACCTGAGTTTTGATCACTAGAATTAGCCAAAACTTGGTCTCAGATCAGCTGTTTATTTTCTAGCTCAACTGATTCTCCTTTGTATGGGCAGCAGACCCCATGGCTGGGAAGCAGGCTCCTCGCTAGTGAGACAGGTTCATTTCTCAAGACAATTAACTACCAAAGGCACTAGGTCAGCCATCCTGGTTGGTGGCTTTCCTTGATGCCATCTCCCTGACTTGCTGTTATACTCTGGACACATTAAACACCTGCTAAGTTCCTCAACAGACCATTTTGAAAACTGAAGAAAAAAGTTACTTCCTGCACATTGTCAGGTCTTTTCCAGTTTGGTAAGTTCATCCCTTTCCAATAGCATGTCTGTGTCTCCGTTCCCTTTGGGTAGGATCTGTAGTCTAACCACTTTCTGGCAGGTCTCTCTACTGCACTGCACTGGGGATGAACCATTTTACTGAGCAGGGCCATCTGGGCTTGGCATCCACAAGAATTTTCCTTTGGGAGTGTGTGGACAGCAACAGTGTGCAATAAAACAGAAGCTGTTTCTTCAAAACAAAGTATGATTTATCTGCCAAAACAGGCACAGTACTCCAAGAAATGGATTAAAGAACAGCCAGGAGACGTGTGTGCCTGTTGTCTGACCTATGCTTGCCATTGCCCTCAAGGACCTATTTTTGCTCTGGTTTGTTCTGGGTGACCCAATTACAGCCTGTGTGGTGCAGACCCTGACTCTCAGCAAGGCAGGGGCAGCCTGCAGCATTTTCTCTCCTCCTTTCCTGCACAGTGGATCTTTTAACCTTAAAGTTAATGACTTTACCAAACAGCTGTGTAATCAGGGGTGGAGTGGAGGAGCTGCCTTTTCACTGATATTAATAGAGCTTGTATGTTTGTTATGATGCTCCTTATCTAGGCAATTGGTTGCTTTTTATGTTTGGTTCCCCTGACAGCCTCGTTTGATCTACTTCCATTGCAGATAACCCCTCATAAATAAGCACAGAGTCATATGTAACTAAGCAATGCAGATTCTTCCCAGTTCCCCACAATATTAGCTAAATAAATTACTTCGCCATCAGAAGCCCTTGTTCCAGCAAACTTCGAGAAGAAAATGGAAGAGAAACACACACAATTACAGAACTGAACTACCTACTCTGCTGGCCAGTTGCAACCAAAATCTTCTAGAAAGCAAAGGCAGAAATGGCTCTGTGCTCACATCTCTAAATCATGCCATCATAGATCTCTTGACAGAGGAGGCAAAACAAAGAGAAAAGCTTGTTTCTGCCCTGGCACAAAACCACCTACCAGCCACTCTCTACCAAAAAGTCAGTGTTCCTTGGAGACATGTTCTTCATATGTAAAGGAAAAAAACCCTGACAAGCAACTGTCATATATTCTCCTCTACTGATTCAACTTTTGCTGTCACAAGTTGTCCAACTACAGGGAAAGATCAGAATTTAGCTCTCATTTAACAGAGCAAACTAGGAGAGATATTAATACACACTGGATAGAAACTATTTTGAGAAATCCGTCAACATTTTTACCTTTATCAGTGATCAAGGGCATGAGATCTCAGATGTCAGTGATATGATGTCTTTGTCATACACAAGACTTAGCTTGCATATCCAGTATCATAAAGGACAGCACAATAATAACAAAATCATATTCTGTCTTGGACAAAATGCTGCTCTCTTTTATTTTCACAAAAGACCTATACAATAAGAGATGTACTCTTCTGTCACTTCAATGTCAAAACTACCAAAAATTACTCTGTCTTGAAAATGAAAGAAGACAGACACAGTATGTAGCAGAATACATCAGTATATCGCAGAATACATCAGTCCATCAAGCTTTCTTTCACGGACTGCACTGCCTATCCAACGGTTTTGAATAAATCCCCAAGGATACAATAAAGACTTGTTTTAATGAGTAGAGCTATGGGTCCCCTCAGAGACTTCTGCAAGAGTAATATAGCTGGAAGAACAAAGAATTTGGAAAGATCGAGAAAACAACTGCATGAAGTATTCCTGAATGTCCAAACCCCCTTTTTACTGTAAACTGGGGAAGTGGGGAAATAAAGGCCTGATCTGGAATTGTTATATTTCTTCGTAGTTTGTAATCTTAGAATCCTAGACTATCTCGAATTGGAAGGGACCCACAAGGATCATCAAGTCCAACTCCCTGCTCCTTGCAGGACTACCTAAAGCTAAACCATATGACTATGAGTGTTGTCCAGACGCTCCTTGAACTCTGACAGTGTCAGTGCCATGACCACTTCCTCAGGCAGCCGGTTCTGGTGACCAACCAACCTCTTGGTGAAGAACTTTTTTCTCATGCCCAAACTGAACTTCCTCTGATGCAGCCTCATTCCACTTCCTTGTGTCCTGTCACCGGTCACCAGAGAGAGGAGATCAGCACCTCCCCCTTCACTACCCCCCTTGAGGAAGGTGTAGACTGCGAAGACATCACCCCTCAGCCTTCTGTTCAAGTTGAACATACTGAGTGACCTCAGCTACTCCTCCTAACAGTACACATAACAGAGATGTAATTTTACACAAGCAAAATAACTGCACATCCAGATTTCTGTTTGCATGCTGATGTAAAGTTCCCTGAAACACTGATTTGTTTGTGACATTTGTATGAATCTGTGGAATTTATATTTCATCAGAAACAAGATTTTTTTTTGCTTCTTTTTAATGTTAAAATGTGATTGCATTTTTTGGATTATTTTAAAGAGGACAAGTAAGGAAGGTTAAAGCTTATTTACACATTTATAGTTGGCATCAGCTAAATCGTGTTGGGAAAGCTACATCTGCTTTTGTACATTCCCTAAAGTCCTTGGATCAAAGTCTATTCTTGGATACTGCAGTGTAATATTGGGATGACTCCACTGAGGCCAGTTGACTTCCTTTTCTTTACCAAGAAATTCAGTGTAATTCGAGGTTAGGAAGAAAAAATTTTGATCAAAGAGGTAAGTGAACTTTCTCCAAAGACCACACCTGGGCAAATGAGCCATCTGGGAGCTGACTGACCCACAGCTGACCACAGAAGTGAAAGTTCAGAGAGACATTAGAATGCCCCCACAGTTTTACTGACAGCTCTCAGCACGTGCAATCAAGGTGTAAGTGCTGGGAATTGAGGTCTAGGACACACTACTGAAAGTAGGAGAGAATACTTATCTCTAAATTTGCTTCAGGGTCTCATATCTGATCTTTCTTAGGTTCACCTTGTCTAAAGGGCATCCAGTATTATCTCAGACTCATAAGAACAAAAAAGGCAAGAAAATGCTTTCTGAAATTATATTCACACTCTTGATGTTCTCTTTATTTAAAAAAAAAAAAAAGTATTGACTATTCATATGGCTACAAACATGCACAGGCATGTTTTAGTCTTAATAGTATGTTTTAATAGCTGTTCGAAGGTTTGAAATACACTCCCGATCTTTGATTCAGTTAGAGAAAACAGTGCATGTGCCTTCTGATGGAAGAAAGAAATGTGTGTCTAGAACAGCTTATGAATTACTCTCAAAGCACAGTAAGCCTAGGTTGTTTCATCCAAGATAAAATATAAGAGTACATTTACCTTTTTTAACTTTGCTGCTCCAGCACCAGAGCGAATGGCCTCCATTAGGGCTTGCCTTGCCTCCCCAGGGTTAACTGTAGCCATGGCAGAGGATTTAGGAGCTGCCGCTGACAGCTGAGTGGGAGGTGGTGGTGGTGGCTGGGCAGGGGCAGGTGGGATAGAAAGCTGCTCTTCCTGAGGGTCTTCTGCCTTCTGCAAGGACAGTTCTGCATTCCTAAAACTCTGCAGCTCTTCAGAGGCCAATGATGAGATCTGCTCATTATGCAGTTGAAAGGAGGTAATTAATACAAAGCATAACTAAACTGTAATTATTTGACATTTGATGCACTTTCAGTACCCCAATTTCACTGTGCTTGAATGATGTAAAACACATAGAACTTTTGTTTGCTCGTGGGGTTGAACATCTGTTACTACTCACTCACATCATTCAGCTGGGCTGATTACCAGCATCAAGGCTTTGGCATTGACAGCCTCAGAAACTCAGTCTTTATTGACTGTGAGCTCCAGCATCCTGCAACTCTTCTTGGCACATAAGGTAAGAGAAGAGAGTTGGACTTGGTATTAATTTGGAAACAACCACAAGGGTTTTGGAATCAGGAAGATACATTAACACTGCAGTAGCTACTCAGGAATCTCATTACTTTTTGCAGTCTGGGCTGCACAGACATAATCTCAGATGACAGGGAGGCTCTGCTAGATCTGAGCTCTCAGACATGGCTTCATTCAAAAAAATGCCGTTAAACCTAAAGTTTCCAGCCATGATAAAAAAAAAAAAAAAAAAGATGGGAGAGCACTACGTGAAAGCACTGAGAACAAAATCAATTGTTTGCTCTTCCAAGTGTGTTCCTGTGGAATTTCTGAAACTAAAATTTCTGCACGAATTACTATCCTGGAAACTCATCCCACTTTAAATTAATGCAGAGAGAGAAAGCAATCTTTCAGACTAAGACAGATTTTCCATCAACTGTCTCAACAAATATTTTTTGCTGTTAACAACATTACTAGTAATATCATGATAAACTGTTAGTAATTACAATGAGTTGTTGATTATTAGGAAATTCAGTACCATATTCTATTCCTTCACTGTACACACACACACAATATATGGGAATAATGTAATGTCAGACAAAACATGAACATTTGAGATAACATTAAAGGGACAGCCCTTTCATCATAGAACATTTATATCTCACCCTGTACACACAACAAACATGGTGCTTTAACCAGTACAGGTGACATGGTGTGAAAAGCAGCATACGGTTTCTAGGCAACTTCCTTTAAAAAAGATGGCAAAAGCTTCTCTGCTGGAGAAAAGTATTCCAAAAAATCCCTGTGATAATATACCACCACTTCATGGTCAGAGCCTCTTTTACACAAATTTACATTTATTCCCAGTGACTGCAGAATGCAGTTAAGTACGTGTGAAGATGGCTGCTGCCTAGCACATCCTGCTCTCAGGCTCAGAGGAAGCTGTACCCTAACTGCAGCAAGGGTAGTAAGATATTTGAGGGACGAAGTAATTTCCTAACACAGACAAGAGATCCTTTCTGTTTAGTGCCAGCTATCTGGATATGTGCTAATGGCCTGAGTCATTGCACAAGGGAAGTGGAAACCTCCTGGCCAAATACACATCCTTGGCTGGATTAGTGAACTGAGTGAAAACTAAGGCTTGAACAATGCAGGTTTTGGCTATTAGGAATAAGAGATGCTTTAATGATTAGGTAAAACTTTCAGACAGAAGTAATAATCCTGTTGTGGTGAAAGCTGATGTTCCATCAGCATCAATTACTTGCATACAACTTGCATGCACCAGCTCATGTTAGCAGATAAGTAGCATGCATGAAGCTCTAGGGTTTTCAAGTAACTGGGACTGGATGCATACCATAACTGCATACTCAGTACAAAAGTGCAAAAAGTACAAAAAACCCTCACCTACATGTGAAAATTATGAACATTTGATGTCTTCTACGTACACTCCCCATAATTTGTTTGGATTTCTATATGCTGCTTTCTCAGCTAAAAGCACACCACTTGAAAGAGTGATCGGACCCGCAATGCCATGTGCGTTAAGTCAGATCTGGTCTTGTGTCATGTTATGTCCTCCTCAACTTTTCTCTGTAGTACAATGTTTAGTTTGTGGCATATCTGGGTTTATTCAAAACACCCAGCGGGAACATCCTGCATGTAAAAGATCACTTACCATCTTGATTTCTTACCTTTTTGAGCTTTGTGGTGCCACTGTGGCCTCTAATTGCTGCTAGGAGGGCTGAGCGCACATTCTCTGGCTCAGGATATGAGGGTTTCCTGTGATTGCCATTTAGCCCACTGTCTGGAACCTAGAATATGAAAAGAATAATCCTCACATTGTTATTAGATATTTATTTAGAGATAGTCTGGAAACACTATTAGAAATATTTATGGCACTTGTACCAGAATGCAAGCTATGGACACTAATCAGTCTGTCTTCTTTCGTGCTGGCTTTTACAACCCTTAGGGACACTGAATGGTGAGGATACATGTAGTAGTAATGCTGTACTCACAGATTCAGTCTTGTATCCTCTGAGCATGAAGTCAGTGGCAAACTAGTATCACCTAGTAATACAAAATGCAGTTTTCTTTCATGGCAAGTATTTACAAGTTTTCTTCATGCTGTGTGTTCCTGTTTTTATGTAACATACTGAAATGCAGATTTGGCTCTTAGGCTAACCTCAATTACCTCTTCTTTATGCTGTATCTCTGCACCCTCTACCTCTTCTAGCTAGTGCAGCAGCAACGGTGTTGCATAATGTACGGGATGTGCAGAATAAGCAGTGTCTTAGTCTGTATTTTGCCATTATAAATTTTTAAAATGCCTTGTGTACTCCAGCTCACCAGCTACTGTACCAGTTATAAAACCTCTTGTGTCTTAGAGGGTGAATACAGGGCTTTGCAGTCTGAACAGGCTAAAAAAAGTCTCCACTTTACCTTTCTGAGTTTCTCCTTTCCCCCTCCTGTTTGAATGGCTTCCATTAGGGCACTGTGCAGTGACGTGTCTTTTGGAATTGGTTTTTGCACAACAGGTTTGAATTTCTTCTTTGGTCCAAAGATATTGGTCTGCACATTAACATCCAGTTCACTGATAGCATTAATATCTGAATCATCAGGTTTCTTCTCCTGTTCTGTCTCTGCATTTGCTGCTGCACCATTTAGCTTGGATGAAGCTTTAAGCGAACTAAGTTGCACGCTGCTAGCAGGAGGCCATTTAGTGACTCGCAAAGATGAGCTGAAAGAAGGTGGGACTCCTTGGAGATCAGGAGACTTGAGAGGTGGGGCTGAATTAGTATGGGTCAAAGTCTCACATTTCTGGTCAAACAGCATCTTTTTCTCTGCTATACTTTGCTTGCTGTTTAAACCATGATCATCTTCTGCACTGCTGTTATCCTTTGAAGAGGATTTAGTAAGTGGGACACTGGCATTCTTTTTATAGGAACTCACAGGAGTTGCTTGATTTGGTGCCCTGATGTTAACTACTTTGCTTTCCATGCCAGAATTATCACCAGGTGTAAACCTGTGGGATGCTTTTTGACTGTAAGTAAAAATACTTGAAAATGTTTCTCTTGTTTCTGATGATTCTGTTTCCACAGGGCTATATTTGGCCACAATAATACATCTTTTTGGTGAAACTTCTGCTTCAGTTTTAACCTCTCCTGCCCCTTGCTTATTTTCATCTTTCTCATTATATTCCATGCAGTCAGACTTAAAGGTAGTTACATTGATGTGTCTTGCAATGGCAGAGGCAACATACTGACTTGAAGTTCTCCTATGTGGCTTTAGAAATGGAAGCTCCAGCTTGTCCTTATTAATGTTTGGTGTTACCTGAGACTGTGTAACTGGAAGAGGCGGTTTGCTCCTTTCATTCTCAGACTGTCTTTCAGCACCCTGGGTAGTAACAGTTTGTGCTACCACAGGTTTTGGAGCTGCAAGACAGACAGGTTTGTGTTCATGTTTTATAGTAAAGGGCTTACAGTTTGTGGTGACTGCTGACTTTTTAGGAAGATGCTCAGCAGAGTCATCACTTTGCTTTTCCATAGAACTTGACCTCCAGAATGCCTTCACTTTCCCAAGATGAATTTCCTCACTTTCATCAGCAGAGGTACCTGGTATGTGCTTACTGACGCCAGCATTTGGGCCTATAAGGTTGCCTAGTTCATCTATCTTAATGGCACCAGTGGAGAGTGAAACTCCTCTATCAAAATGTTTTACTTCAGGTTTGGGAGGGACAACTTTAAAGGTTGTCAAACCCATTTTAGGTTCATAGTTTGTTCCTGAATTCTGGGCACGATGACACCATGTGGGTGTTGATGGGACTTCTTTTGCTTCAATTTTTTTTGCTGGTGGCCATTTGATTTCTAATTCTGATTTACTTTTTTTCAGAGATCTTTCCCTGTTACTACATTCCTTAAATGGATTTATCTTCTCTTTTGCTGTACTGGTTTCAGCTGTGGCCTTGGAATGAGATGGAGTCAGCTTAGATTTACATTCCTCAGATTTCACAGCATGTTTGGGGGGGGGTTCCAGTCTTAAGTTCTTTTCACTTCTTTTTTCGAATGAGGATGTGAGAGATTCAAACATATCTCTCCTCTGTTCCACAGGCAAGTGACTGAATTCATTTTCAGATGGTTCCTGTTGTATTAGGTCCTTGGATATGCATACAGCTCCACCATCTGTGTGTCCCTTATCAAAGGAACCTGCACTGTTGTTTTTATTTGTAAAGTTTCCTGTATTAACAGAGTCAGCTGAGATATTTTGTGAGACCCTTGTCTCTGCCTCTTGATTTCCAGCTGAGTTAGAGGTGCCAACTTCTGGAGCATCATCTATGACTGTTACTGGAACAGAAATGGTAACACCTTCGGCAGCCTCAACTTTTCTTATATGTGGGCTCGACACTTCATTGATGGACTCAGAGTCAGAGTTACTTACGCTATCCACTGCTGCAAAATACACACACAACATTACATATAGGCAGTATTTAGGCATTATGACTTTAAATTACACAAACAGCCAGTACAAGCTTAAGCGGATCAGATATTTTAGTTACACTAAAACTAACAGGAATAGATTTATGCTTGTATTACAAAAAAGGAGAGATCTGGGTCCTTTTTATAGTCTGGTTGCTGATTAGGATCAGCCAAATATTCCTGCAGTCCTCCTGCTTCAGCTAGTGGGAAATACACAAATGCAGCTGAAAGCAGAATTTAATCTATTGTTCATACCTTATCTTTGACTAACTTCTCTCAGTGATAAACATTTCACCACATGACTCCAAAGGAGAAACATTTCTGAGAAACAGCAAGCAACTCCAAATTATGTTTCCCAGACCTGGTTAGTAATAACAGCCCAGCTGAAGGATTTCCTTGAGCAAGCAAACAAAGAAACAGTACTTGTACTTTTTATCCATTCTTCTCACCCGTCATTACCAGTGACTCCAGAAGCCTCATTGTGCAAGAAGCTTAACTCTCCTCTCAAATTTGCTGGTATAAATCAGGGGTTACAACACAGAAACTAAGAAATTGCAGTGTTAGAGAACTCATAGAAATTAAAGCAAAATCAGGTCCACTGCAGAAGTACTAAAATAAAGATGGGAAGATTTTAAAAAGTATTCAACGTAATTTGGTAACATTAGTAGAGAAATATCTTTATTCACAGTAGGAAAAAGAGGAGCACAATATGACATTTTATCTCTTCCCACTGTTTCTTTTCATGTTTTTCAATTTTTAACTTTAAAATGTCTCCTAACTCAGAGGAGGCATTAGGTACAAAAATGTCCCCCCCCTTCTCCACTTCATTATGATAAAATAGAAAACAGAGGCATTGTTTGTTAAACACAGAATTAAATTCACAATTGATTTAGCTTCACTGAAGTCAATGAAATGGTACCAAATTTGGCCCATAAGATGTGTCCATAAACTGCTGTTCATCTCTTCTTGGTAGCAGACATCAAAATGCAATGACAATCTGATAAGCAGCTTGACAAATATTCAGTGTGAGTCTATAAAGACTGGCTGCCCAGAAGCAAAGGGAGAGCAGCCACTTTGGGCTGACCACATTCTGCCTTAAATCTGTGAGTAGTTCCCAGTGATCTTAGTGAGAAATGTGCAGATGTCTCAGAGTACAGTTTGACTCTGCATCTCCTGGCTATGTCTCTCTTGGACTTCAGAGTTAACACACTTCCCTACCTTCTAAATCTTCATCCAGGCTAGCCAAAGTCTGCTGGAGTTGTGCAGCAATGAATATATCCTCATCCTCATGCTTTGCTGAAGCCATTTCTTCATCTCTCCTGCTAAATGGAAGAGAAAAAGGTTGAGTCTCCCCCTTTTTTCACTTTGCACTGTTGCTCTGAAATACACTATCATTTCAGCCCCTTGGGTTCCACTGGGGTTCTGAAACTCATTCTGGAAAGTATGAAAAATACGCAGCCTTGGAGACACACACCACTACACAGACACATCCACATCTAGGAAGGGCCTCTGTGGTGCCTGAGCATACTTGGTGTGCCGGCAATCAAAAGATTAGGATTAATAAAGCCTGTTGCAAAGAAATGGTCTGGCTTCACTGTGAAGTACGCATTTCAGCTGGACTGCAGAAAAGCAGTGTATGCCAAAGGAAAGGTTTTGCATAGCCATATAATTTTAAAGCAGACCACTAGCCATCCTGTGCACACACTGTGCCAGTATATCTACACCTTAATTAAAGTTGCATGGCAATGAAAAAGAAATATGGCTAAGTACTGTTAGACAATCAGTCTGCGTCCTGAGGGGAGGGAGAGGAGGAGGAAAGAGAAACTAATCCCTTGAGAGCTGTTTCTAATGAAGCGTATAAAGGGGCCTGATTTTGCCAGAAAATAACTCCATGGTTTTTGATGAAGTTTTACAATGATCTAAACCAAGTCTGAAATCAGAATGAGCGCCAAGTGTTGTCCTGGCTTATTGAAAGAAAAAAAAAAAAAAAAAGAAAAATAAGATGAAACTAAGAAAAATCCTAACAAAAAATAACTAAAATTTAAAAAAATACACATGGCAACCTGTTATACAACAGACCTTCTGTTTCTTAAGCAGAAAAATCTTGACCAGCAGAGCTTTTCTATCTAAATCATTGAAGCTAGGATTTCACATCGGGCAATTCATTTTTTCCAGCTACTTGTTCCTCACCTGAATTTAAGACATTGTTGTCTGTGACACTGTATCTAAGTTTTGCCCTTCTGATTAGCTTATTGAAAAAATAATTTTCCATGCTAGCCACACTTTAACTCTGGCCAGCTGAAGCAGATTCGCCCTTTTCAAGATCAAACCCTTAATATCACAGATACAGGAACAGATGACATTTTTTTGGTAGTTTACTGAACGCTACCTGTAAAATGCCATTTTTCTGCTGCCCTTTGAGATAATAATCTGAATAAAAAATCTGGGACGTTTCCTGACATTGATTTAAATTATGTCTAACAATGTAGCTTCCTTTTTTTCTATTTTATTGTTTGATTTTTCCCTTGCTTATAATAGGAACAACTGAAAGCACGTTGAAGCATCAGGTATGTTATTTTACTTTATTTTATTTACTTATTTTGCATTCACCTTTCCTTTCTTTAAGTCTTTTGTAGCAGTCCTGGAACCCAGTTCTTCTAATTGCACCTAAACTGCCTTGCGCAAAACACACCTGCAAGGAAGCCATTCAAAACTTTTTTCAGATAGACATCCTTTTCCTAAACAGGGATGAATTCAAGGTGGCAAAGAATGTATGTGCCTATGTGGTTTCCTAAACTGGAATCTATGACAGAATTCTGTATTGGTTGTTCAAATACAGAGGAAGAGACAAAGTGCTCTGTGACTGGAATACAATTTCTTCCAACATTTGCTTGAGCTTTCACAGGCCCTGAACATCCCCAGAAGCCAAGGTGAACTGATGATGCTCAGGCCCAGCAGCCACACGGTGAGACTCACGGTACACTGCGTTTTCCTCCTGCTGGATTAAAAGAAAGGTGACACAAACCAGTCAAAGTCTCCAGCAGAGGCAACTGGTGCTGTAAAACTGTAATCCCACTGTACCCTGAAGCACACACACACACACACACACACATCAATGAGAGCACTCATCTGAGCAATCTGACAAAAGGATTTAAGCTTACTGCAGCATTCGGATTAGAATAGAAATCTGGCAAAGAAAAAGCTCAACTTGAAGAATGAAGAATGAAGCAACTGAATTTCATACTGGTTTTGCAGTGGAAAGTTTTTCAAAATCAATAAAAAATACTTGCTCTCCTCTGAGTGCATTTTAAACCAATGTACTTGCAAACTTAGAGCATTTCTGATGGAAGAATAATTCAAACTGCACCAGATTAGCAACAGGTCTGTCCAGCGTGGAAGGCAAATATTGCTTTCTTCTTTACAAAGCTGGTCTTGCAGGATTGTAGTCCACAGGTGGAAGCAAATTACTGACACATATTGAGACTCTTTCTCTAAGGTACTGTGAGGTTGTTTTGAAAACCTTGGAAGAAAAAGGTGTAAACCCATATCTATGAGAGAATAAGACCTAATTTCACAAAGGCCATGCCAGCTCACCACCTTTTTGGTACCTGATCACATCTTTCTGTCTATTGCTCAACTGTTCTACAATACAACCGAAATCTGTATTACTAAGGTTGTCTGTGCTGGGCTTTCCCCAGGAAATAATGTAAACCATTGGCTTGAGAATTTTATGTGTAATTTATCTAGGAAAATATATTTGGTACTGGAACAGGGATTCCTGGGCTCCAAACATGCATTCTTAAGTCCATTGCACTGACCAGCTCTTTTCTCATGTCAATCAATGGGAATCTCATAATGACTCTTACAGCAAAATTATCTTCTCCGTGATGGACACAACAGTGAGCAGAGGTCTCTTTCATTATCCTCTGTGCACTCAGAACATAGAACATAGAATCATTAAGGTTGGAAAAGACCTCAAAGATCATCAAGTCCAACCGTCAACCCAACACCTATGCAGTGACTATATACAATTTGCCTCTCAAACTCTGCTTCAATCTCCTTATCTAGACAACTGGGATAATAACATCCAATTCACAGATGTATTTTTTTTTTTTTCTGAAAGAAAAAGAACATGCAGTGAAAATGAAAGGATTCTTATTTGTTCTTACAGAGAGATCTTCAGAATTCAATTCATCTCCAAACTCACCTAACAAAGCAAGCCAGAAGGTATAGATTAATCACAGGGCTCTTCTTAAAAATTATTAAACTTCAGAATTTAAAATGTGATACATGTTTTGTGAGGCAAAGGTCTGGTAGCTTCCAGTAGCTCACAGGATTTATAAGTATGCCTAAGAAGAGTCTTTCTCACAACAGTATTTGGGAAAGGAAAACAAAAGGGCCTCTCGGGTTTTTTTTGTTACAGCCTTCCTCCCTTCTATCCCTATACACGTTTCTTTTGTTGACAGCTCTGTTTTGGCCAGAATCCAAGAAAAATATGACTTATTCTGATACCACGTTTTACATTCTGTATAAACACTACCAGTGGTATTTTCTCACACATGCTTTTTTTGACTTAGGGAAGAATTTGATAACCTTTGCGCTGCCTTTCTGGTAGAACGTGAGGCACTAAAAATACAGCACTGGTGAGCATTTAGCCCAAGATCAAAACGTGCACGGTTCCTGCAAGCCTGCGCACTTATTACATAGATTAGCAAAGATTTGGGCAAGAGAACAGAGTGGAGCAAAGTGACTACTGAACTACAGCCTTTAGTGTTCCACTGAGCTCAGACTACAATGCATAATTACTCCTCGGCAGTCATTTGCACAGTTGGAGACAAAATGAAACTTACAGTGGCATTTCATCAAATTAGAGCCATGGGAGATGGATATTTATGAGAAAGTTTACATTCTAAGAAAGAGAGAAAAGTCTCTGATAAACCTATCTGGAAATCTTGCAATACAAAGAAACCCAAACCAGTGGTAAAACAATGGATTTGCAATATCAGAAGCTGCCATCTTGTTGTAGTTAGAGCACCTTTATCTGGGGGTCTGCAAATGATAAAACTGGCCCAAGTGTCTTTGAGCACTTCTCAGGAGTTCTGGTGAGCCTCATGTATGGTACCAGAGGTACAGACCACAACTCCCACCGTAATTGTTTAAATACAACACAGACCTATGTAAACTGCAGAGAAGGGACTGAGGAAGAGATTCAGTTATCTGAACTCAGGCACTTGGTGCCATTTGAAATACTGTAGGATATTCAAGACATCTGTCTGGAGCTGTTAGACATAATATGGAACCCATGGGAGACCCATGTCCTGCTGGAGTGGCAGCAGGCAAGATGAAATGACAGTAGATACCTCTCAGGTTAATTGAATGTGACCCCCAAGTCTCACTCATTTTGCGTCACATTTGCTATATCAAAAGACTTGAAAACATAGTTCCTGTAAATTTGTTAATAGCTGGGGAGGGAAGACAGAGCCATAGCAAACAACAGAGTCTAATCCTGACAGGCTCACCATGCAGAAGTAAACGCATGGAAGCAGTGAGTGCTATGAGGCAGTTCAATGGACACCAAGAGCATTCAGCCTCTAACGTTTCTCAAGCAGCTAACAGGGACTGAACAATGTGGAAAGTGGATATTATAGTTACTCTAGACTGGGCTTTTCAGCGTGTGGGCTCCTTCCCCAGCTCTGGTAGTCTTCTCAGTCTGGTACTGGGGAATTATTTCAACCCTTAAGTGTGTATCCAAATTTCTCCTCTTTAAAATGAATCCACAATATTCTCCTCTTACATAAATGTTGGAAAGAGAAATACTTCTACCTTGGTATGTACCAAGGTGGGTGCCGAACAGGAGACTGACACTGAACAATTTTAAGTTGTAGAAAGTATGGCTGCAAGTGCATTCTTTTTGAACACAACTTTCTGTTCAACCAGGCCAGAAAGATGATATTAGGTAAACTCAAAACTGTTTTTGTGACTGATGCAGCAAAGTACTCTTCAAAAGTGCAGGTAACTATTTGCCAGATGTGGTTTTGTGTGTTGGGTTTGTCTGGTAGCATGGAGGGGTCACAGTAATGGCTCCTGTAAGTAGCTGCTAAAGGTTTCCCTGCACTCAGCTCTGCCGGCAGCAAGGGAGGGGCTGCAGTGGTGGCACCTGTAAGTAACCGCTAAGAGTTCCCCAAGCTCCGAGTCTGCTCTGGCAGCAAGGGAGGGGCTGCAGCAGTGGGGCTCCTGTAAGTGACTGCTAAGGGTTCACCCCCACACCAAGGCTTTAGTAAC